AATATTTCAATTAGAGCTATAAACATTACTACAATTATAACAAGAATCAGAGTCTGCTCTAATTATAAATTTATTTATTGGCCTAGTATCTTAAAAGTTGGGTGAAGTCATATTTTCTAATCTGTTGTAAGAGTACTATAGCAAGAAATATTAATTATATATACTATAGCAAGAAATATTATTCATGTTATAGCAGAAAACTGCTTAATTTAATTTTTGGAGAACACTTTAAATTATAGGCAAAAAATAAATATTGGACAATTAAACTGTGCCCAAGCTTACGATATGATGCTGCTGATATGTCAGATATAGTTTGTTTATTGTTTCAGTTTTTTATAATACTTAGCCTATTTTAATTACCTGCATATTTATTTATTGCTTATACTTACTTACAGTTTATGCTTGCTGCCTTTGGCACAACCTTACTGTGTGGTTTGTTTTTTGTACTTTTTTGATTTGTTACTTTTTTTTTTATTACTTTATGTATTTACAGGATCATTTGAGGAATCTCAATTTGAGTCACTATGCAAAGATAGAAAAAAAACTAAGAAAAACTGCAGTACCACACTCTTTAGCATTCCAAATCCACCACCATCTGTAACTGATGTCCGTGTGCATAATTTCCCATTGTGTTACTTCATTTATTAATTTTTCAAGGATAATCTTTTCATTTTATATGGCATGTTATCAGTATAAAGGCTAGTGAAAATAACTTGGTAGTGTATATGTTTTGAGTGTAATGCTTAAATAAAAGATAGTGCGTGTGTTTCTTCATTTAAACAAAATTTCAAGGATAGTATTTTTCAGCGTTGTACTGTTGTTATTTCTCAATGTAAAGGGTAACAAGGGAAAAAAAAACTGGTATGGTACATCTGTTTTTTAAGCATGATAATTTTATTTATTTCTTTAGTGATGCATATATAGAGAGAAGGTATTTGGTCCAACTGAGTTATAATAAATCTAATTTTACTAGATCTCTTTCTCCCCCAGGTGTAGAAAATTTTCAAATGCAGAAAGGTTATTTGCAGAATTAATTCATTTCTGATAAACTTATTATCATTAATTTTTTATATAACATTTTTTTAAGTTACATGTTTGACTACGTGTAATAAACTTGATTTAGGGCAAAAAAATTAACTATTTTGCAGCTGTGACTAATATCATGCTCTAAGAATATTACTTTAACTTTTTTTCATAATTTTTTGTATTTCAGGACATGAAACGTTACTTTGATATACTTAAATAATAAAAGTGTGTATCTGAATCAATTAATGGATACAATTTTTACAGTTATTTTTAGAAGATATTGCTTCTAATAATTCATAAAGTATGTTAAAATATAGGTAAATAATTTGGTGCAGAATTCAAATTTAGGGTTTGAAATATAGTGAATCATGAGACTAAATGATTTTTATTGTCATGATTTGCCCTGGGCTTAAGAATGTACTTTTCGCCCGTGGGAAATTGTCATCAAACTGTCCTGAACAGCTTTTAGTTGATAATAACTTCCAGGCTATCAGTACCTTCCTTTGAGTGGAGGGTATACAATATAGTACCCAATTTAAATTACATTGTGATTGTAATAATATTGTGGTATTAAATAAGTGATTATATTACAATTTAGATAATTGCATTGTAATATATTACATTGTATTCTGGGAACTCTTAATTTCATTACTTTATGCAATTAGTAAGTGCATAATCTAATTGCATAATATAATCTATTCACCAATTACAAAATAATTAAATGCAGTTACATCTTAAATAGAGGCCATTTTATATACTTTTAAATTTTCGCAAGATAACTTCCCATTAAGGTTCATTTGGAGGAAACTATGCAAATACTAAAAAAGAAATTATGCTAAATTTACATATTTTGTACAGTAGTTTCTTGTATAATGCTGTTAAATATATCTTCAATACTTTTGTAAATTTAACGACATTCTTTGCAATCACTGTGGTGCTTTAAAAAGAAGTTTCTTAGTTATGCTTTCTAATAATTATTAAATTAAAAATTAAGTATTATGTATAATAACTAGCAATTAAAAAACCTGACTGCATGAAACTGCTGTTTGCTGTGTAAAATAGAAAATAAGCTTTCTTTTATGCTTTGAAATGAATTACGTGGGGTTAAGTCGTCCTTTTACAATTTAAGAATGTGGTTAACACACATTCTTAAATTGGACAGGTTTTATCTAAATTATTAGTATAAAATATATAAACTATGACTTATTTGTAACATAACTCAAATTACAAAATTAATTCTATATATGTTTAAATTATTATCTTTTATGGAATAACGTTTTTTAATTTAGGTAAAAATTGCATTTTTAGAAGTATTACAAATACAATGGAACACAAAGGTGATCTGATTGGAGAGGAAGGACTTTTTATTACGGTTTCTAGTTCGTATTTATATTACATTTTGGTGAAAATCATCCAAAACACAGAATGCTGTACTTTCTTCTTCCATATATGTTATGAAATATTTCACACATTTAAAAGAAAGTGTTTCTTCAGAGTCTTGCACAATTATTTCCATATACCTCAGACTAAAATGACAACATATTCTTAAGTTATTTTTTTAGTATGAATTTACAGTGTTTTTATGGAAATTTTTGTTAAAATGTCATTAAGATAAATTTATTTGCACACTCTACGCTTTTAATATTTCCCCATTTGACACTATGAAAGTTTTTATTCATATCTTATTTATTTTAGTCTGCTAACAAAACTAAACATCTAAAGAATAAGTTATTTTGAATATGTTTACAAAATATACGCGAAATTTTTATTTAAGTGAAAACGTCTATATATACTATTCGAGAATTAATAAATTATCCGAAAGTTTATGTGCGCTGAATGCCGCGCGTCTATAAAATAAATCTTTAAAAAAACAGCAGACATCAGCCAGTGTGTGCGATAAACGCGCCAAAATTGGTAGCGCGTTCCCTCCCTCGCCAAGAGAGAAAAGTTGGTGATTCAGCCTGGTTTAGAGGAGCCTTACCCAAAACCAAACGAACTTTATCAAAACATTGTTCAGACAACTCAACCCAAAGCTTTTCTGCGGTAAATAAAAAAAAAAATCGTTGAAGAATTAGAATGAGTAATTTCTATGAAGATGGTAATTCCTATGAAATTTCTTTTTGATGTGATACTTTATACTTAATTTTCTTATGCATAAATTTTGTTATGAGTTGAAAGCTGTTATCTTTTCTGTTATTTCAATGGCATGTGTGACGTATCCACTGTGTGTAAGGTGATTCATCCTACGTTTAGAAACTTATGTCGGTTTTGGGTGTCTTTTATTTTCAGAGTTACACCGTGTGTTAAGCTGGATACTTAGTTATTACTTCTTTCATTTATGGTAATTTCTATATACTTATTGAATTGTATGTATAAATGTTCTTGTATTTATAAATGTTCATGGACATAATTTAATTAAAACATATTAAAAATATGTCGTTTGCAAATCCAATAAATGGTTGATTAAGTGTCCTGTAATAATTATAAATATGTAAGGTAGAAACGTAATTGTACTTATAGATGTGTGTGTCGTTTAGTAAAAATTTAAGATACTTGTATATCATACTTCTGTAATCATGTTTTAAAGTTTTGATATCTAATTTATTAGTTAAAGTTTCTTCAGAAAAATCTCATGAGTGTAGTTTAAAGCTTTCAACTTTATGGAATTGTCACAAAAATAGGTAATAATGTAGCTCATCTTCTAGATTAGAGATTTTTCAAGCCCTTAATGAGAGCTTTTAATTCAAAAAATTTAAGTGACTTTCATATACTTAAATTTCAAATACTCTCTTTTTGCATCAGTAGGATATTTGTGATGGTCTGGCAACTGTTTGACTGACAGCTATCTTAAATTTTCGGTTGATCTTTACATTATGGTAACTTGGCGATTTTTTGGCGAAATTTGGCAACCAACTCTCCTACAGCAACCCTCTATTTTTTTTCCCCGCCGCCATTTTGTCTTCACGAAGTAAAGACATGTTTCTTTTCTTTTTATCTACTGAACACTTCTTCCAACAATCTACTAGCCGAATTACACTTATGCTAGAAATTTTATCAAACAAAACTGCTTAATCATGACAAATATTCACTGCAAAATTCGGAAAAAGTGCACAATACCATACACCTTATGCGTTTTTCAAAATAACACATACACATAAACCGTGTACACGCCGACTTATTTTTACTTAAAAAAACATCCCAGAATTGCACAAAAATGGCATTGCGCACACTCTTCACTATATCCATGTACACTGCTTTTTTCTCATAAATTAGAAAAATTTCACGAAAATACATGACAATTTTCTCAATCTTTAAACCCGGTAAAAAGAACATATATGAAATTACCTGATCGCGAAAAAGTACTTACCCTTTCCAAATATGAACATTTCCACATATAAAATAAATAAAATATCCAAAAACTTTTACCTCTAAATCATCTATTATATTATAAACGTCACCAACGAATTCATACCGCAACCATTACAAATACTTAGTGTCAGATATTTAAATTATTTCCATGCACGTTTACTTCAACTAAAACGTATACCAAATTCCTACAAACATAAAATTCACAAAATAACTATAATTTCATTAAAATATAATTAAATTCAAAAACACTATTAAATATAAATGAGCACATACATTAAATTAATAAATTACTTACAATCCTAATTACTTAAACTAATCATTGCTAATAACAATTTTCCCATAATACCAATTCCTTTCCACCTTACATTTAGAACAATGCATAAAATATATCCTCAAATAATTAAAAATACTAACTTACCTAATCTTCTTCAGAATCTTGATTCGCGGCGGATACACTTTTCTAATTCATTCAATAAAATTATTAAAGATTTTTTCTGCGAATTTTTCCTCCATACTTCCTCCGCTAAATAAAAAGCAAACTTCTCTTTATCACAATGCCTAAATCCCATTCGAATTCACTTTACTTAGGCCATGAGATCCAAAAATTACACAAACACTGTTTTACACAACACAGAATAAAAGCTAAATACAAAATTTCCACATTTTTTCCCGATTTCCCCCCTTTTCCGATTAAAGAACCGTAATTCGTCCATTAATATCACATGACAATCCCATGATCTCTCATTTCCCTCACGCAAAATAATGCGTAATCTAATGAGTACTGCTCACATTATTACCAAAGTCCCAGGTAGTAACCTTTATTGCCTCCAAAATGTCGCCAAACTACCAGTTACCATATTGTAAAGATCAACCAAATTTTCTTTTTTTTTAATCTTGGAATTTCTGTAACCAAAACTGAACTCGTTAAATGGCATTAAAATGTGGGAACCTGCCAGTTGCAATCTTTAGTGATTGTAAACGCTATAATCATATTGGCTGTATATTTGATAAAAAAAGTCAGTGGATAGCTTGGGCATTTTTAATATCTCTCATTGCATACCCAAAATTCTATAAAGTGTTAAAATAACAGAGAAATAAATAAATGATGTGCGTTTAAAGTTAAAACTTTAGATTAGTCTATATTTTAGGGTACCCCTTGGGACTAATCTTTGGATTATGGTAACTTGGCGAAAATTTGGCGACCAACCCTGCTACAGCAACCTGCTAGTTTTGTTTTGGACGCCATTTTGTTTTCACGAAGTAAAGGCATTTTTTTTTTTACTCAAAATTTTTTCTAACAATCTGCTAGCCGAATAACGCTTATACTAGAACTTTTATGGAACAAAAATGCTTAATCATAACGAAGATTAGGTGCGAAATTGAGAGAAAGTGCAGAATTGCCCACGGCTTGCCGCGTTTTTAAGTACTGCACATACACGGTATCATCCATGTACAGGTCGACCTATTTTCACTTAAAAAAAAAAAAAAAATCCCAGAATTGCACAAAATGGCATTGTGCACACTCTTGACTTTATCCATGTACACTGCTAAAGTCCTAGCTAGTAACTTTTATCGCCTTACCAAAATGACATCCAACTACCTGTTACCATATTCCAAAGATTAGCCCTTTATTTTTCTCAAACCTATTTTTAACAATGGAAGTTTTAACTACATCTCCAGGGTTCATAACCGTCCTTACAAGTGCTTATAAGTCCTTATATTTGAAAATAAAATATAAAGGCCCTTATAGGTGCTTACTTTTTCTAAGTCCTTACTTTTTTGTTTTTAGTGCTTATTTTTTGCCTTTATGTTTTTTTTATGCTTGCATTTTTCCTTGTAATGAACATGCCCTTTCCTCCGCCAAAGCCGAAACAATGCCGTCCAAACAAAAACTGGGAGGTTGCTGTAGCAGGTTTGGTCGCCAAATTTTCGCCAAAAAATCGCCAAGTTACCATAATCCAAAGATTAACCAAATAAAGTAATTTCTGCACCATTCAGGAATTCAACTGGCAGTTCTCAAAATAATACTTCAAAATATAAGCGTACACCTGTTACACATTTCTCTCAAAATAAAAAAAAAATTGCTGAACACACGAAACATTTTCCGATTACTGTAAGTTTATCTAAGCACGAATCTGCCACTGTTCATAACATATGTACAAAAACTGATTAACATGTCTTTTTTTTTTTTTTTCCTTAAACGATGCAAGTAATAAAAATGTTTGGTAAATCTTTACATTACGGTAACTTGGCGAAAATTTGGCGACTAACCCAGCTAGTTTTGTTTTGGACGCCATTTTGTTTTCACGAAGTAAAGGCATTTTTTTTTTTTTTTTTAAACTCAACATTTTTTCCAACAATCTGCTTGCCAAATTACGCTTATACTAGAACAAAGTGCTTACTTATGACGAAGATTAGGTGCGAAATTGAGAGTGCCTACTTGCCGCTTTTTAAGAATTGCACATACACGTATCCATGTACACGTCGACCTATTTTCCCTTAAAAAAAAATCCCAGAATTGCGCAAAAGGCATTGCGCACACTCTGACTTTATCTATGTACACATTGACCTATTTCCACTTAAAAAGTCAAAGAAAATAGACAAAAATCCAATTCTTCTTACTCTTGTAAAAAGCGCCAAACAAATAAGTGGGCGGTTCTGCACTTTAGCAGCGAAATTCTTTCTAAGTGCTTATTAGCTAAAATCACGATCAGAATTTTCCGGAAAATGTCACATTACATGTCTCAATCTCTCATTTCTCCGAGACAAAATAATCTGTGATTCGAACTGTGTACTTCTCAGATTATTGCTAAAGTCCTAGCTAGTAACCTTTATCGCTTTACCAAAATGTCGCAAAACTACCTGTTACCATATTCTAAAGATTAGCCAAATGTTTTTTATGTGTAAGGTGTTTTTGTATTGCTTGCATTTAAGAATTAGTAACTATTTAAAGTTAATTCATTATTAAAAACTATATTTTTATCATTTAAAAAGTCTTTTTAACATTGTGAAAAATCTCCTGATTTCTTAAAATAATTTCCTGATTTTTGAGTATCGTAGGTTGGCAAGTATGTATATGTTGTTTTAATGCTTGGCTGATTGTACTCAGAGTTGTATTTTGTGTCATGATCGCTCTATCGTCAGTTTCTCGCCAAACATTTTTGGCGAGAAATTCCACGGTGCCATATTACTATCTAAATTTTTTGTCTACATTTCGAACTTTAAGCCTAAAATGTTTCCAAAAATGTGGTTTTTGCACATGCAAAAACTGTGTTTTGAACACTCAATTTAAGCTAAAAATTCGAAATAAAAAGAAAAATTTAGGTAGCAAAAACGTAAAGTTTCTAACCAAAAATATTTGACAAGAATCTATGTGCACAGTGATATGTTTTAACTTAAAAAAACTTCTATGAATTGTATAATCTAGGCAGTGAAAGAAACTATGAACTAAGCACACTTCGCTTTAATAAATTAACATAACAACAATAAATTTCAAAGAATACCATGTACACAACATTCTGTTTAAACTTAAAAAAACATCTACGAATTGCACAACCTAGGCATTGTGCACAAATCAACAAAATAAACTAAAATGAATTACAAACAATTCAAATAACAACAGAAATTCATAGTAAAAAAAAATGAACATAATCTACGAAATAAAAACAAATAAAGTGCATTTACCATAATACGTGAATAAAATTTCGCCAGTCACACAGCGTCTGTCAACAAAAATGCCACAATTTTGCTATATCACATATCTTTCTGTGATTCAAAATTTCGAAAGTAACGATAAAAACTTCCTCCAAAGATAACTTACTACATGAAAACCACAATCCAAATCTTAAACTCCGCTGACAACCACATACGTTACCAGCAATCATTTGACTGCAAACCCACTCAAGTCTATCAGAAATACCATTCTTCGTCCGAGTTCTCATATCATCTTCGCATTTCGGACATGCCAAACTC